TGCTGCTGACTGTGTGTTCTCTGGTGATCGACGCTGGTGTTGTGCCGCCGAGAAGCGGTCCTTTCCCATATTTCGTCGCCGTTCAGAACGGGTTGTCCTCGGCCCTATGCACGTCTTTACTCGTCAACGGCTTTGTGGGGTTCCAGCTATACGAAGATGGAACCACATTGTCCGTGTGGCTGATTCGATTGACATCCACGATCATGTTCGCAGTCTCGTTCCTGGTGTCCCTCTTGACTTTCAAGTCCTGGGGAGGCCTTAGTCCCACCAACACCGTCGGTATGTTTGTGGTTCTGTACATCTTGAACGCAATCTGCATTGCCGTGTACCTCGTGATGCAACTCCTGCTGGTGGTGAACACCCTTGAAGACCGCTGGCCGCTGGGTCATATTTGTTTCGGTCTGCTTGTCTTCATCTGCGGCCAGGTGATTCTCTACGCATTCGGCGACACCATTTGCGACAACGTCCAGCATTACTTGGATGGTCTGTTCTTTGCCACCTTCTGTAATCTTCTCGCTGTCATGATGGTCTACAAGGTATGCTCTCATCTACATTTCCCTCTTCAGATTGCCAGACTAACGCGCTCTTCTAGTTCTGGGATTACATTACAAAAGAGGACCTTGAATTCTCCGTCGGCATCAAGCCCAATACCTGGGAAGTCAAAGAGCTCCTTCCCGAAGAGGACCGTCGCGCAGCAGGCTACCAAGACACCAACTCGGAGTACGCCGGCAGCATGTACCACCACCGTGCATCGACCTATAATGCACACAACTACTAATGCGGGTATCTTCCCGTCCTTCTGATATTACGTTTTCACGAGTATTTCTTACGTTTCCCATGCGCTTTATCTTTCTATGCACGTTCCCACGTTCCCGGGTTTCTCATCCATTGCAGGGGTCTACAATATTCTCTGCCCGATCTTCTCACCGTATCTTGTTCCTGAATTTTCTCATTTGCAAGGAGCACTACCCTAGTCTATCTAGCACATATCCTTGGTATTCATTACAGAAAGGGATTATCTACCATCGTCTAGGCTACCTCTTTCCAGACATATCTGTCCTTCCCCTCCATCTATCCCCTCTTATTGGTGCCTTTGAAATATTCACTTGCATGGACCTGTACGACATTATTTCTCTTGGCACCTTTAGGCACGATTCATTGACACATGCGATCCCTGTTTTTTATCTTTTTTTTTTTTCTCTTGTTTATCTCAACGTTACATTGTATGTTATATTGGCAGTGCGCAAGTCAGCAGTGAGATTCCTGTCCCGCTCGCTTATCGAATAGTTTGGTTTATGTGGTTTATGTATTTAGATAGGTAATATTATATTATATTAAATAGGGCTTACTCCTACTTGAACAGGACACATGCCTATCTAGTATTCAGATATAACCGTGTCCTGTCCTTCCGCTTTGAGTTAGGATGGAATGGAACAGAAATAAATGCAAGGGGCGGAAACAAAAATTAAATTAAATAAAGTAACGGATAGGCTGTGAAATGAATTATGTCAATTGGAATCCAATCTGCAGATCTACCAATTAGAGCGCTCACGGAAAACATTCTCTTTGAAATCAAAAGAGATAATGAGAAATAAAAGACATGGCGGTTAATATGGAATAACCCCTGTTTCCCCCCAAGAAAAACCCGGCCCCAAAGAAGAGACATATCTGGCAATCTGCAGTAATTCTCGGATGAAAACGAGAAGCCGAAGCCAGACCAGACAACTAAAGGCTAAACCTACCCGAGGATGTAGCTAGTCCGTAGTCTAGGTACTAGTAGGCAGGTAGTCCAGTAGTCCTGCATGAAGGAATCAAAGCATCGTGGCTCGGATATCGATTCTAAGTTGGTTGGGTCGTGCAGAAAAATATTTCCGGGGGAATGGATTCGTCGTGGATTATATTTCCCCCCTTCCCCCCACGCTCCAAGGTAGGTAGGTTTGTGATTGAATCCCGTCGAGGATGTCGTTACATGGGAGAAAGGGGCCCCGGTCTAGTTATGACTCTATGTATTGTACACGGTATGCATGAGAGTTCCTAGCGTTGTGTTTTTAAATTTTTGTTGGTTTTTCCTGTTTTATTTTATTTTTCTCCCTGTCTTTCTTGTCCGTCCCCCCCCCTACTGGAGACGAAGCAGGATGCGTTATGGGAATCGGAATCAGGCCGTCAAAGTTCAAGCTAGACGGAGGAATCTCGGACTCCACATCATTTATGATTATGGTGATGGTGTCAAGTTGCTCCAGTTGCTCAAGTCAAAGGGGGCCAAGCACACAGGCGATCGGACCCTTCTTGACATGAATCGGCATAGAGTCACTGAAACCGCGAAGGATGGGTGTGCTACCGCTCAACGATGATTTGACTGATGTAACCTCGGAACGCGAGGAACGATCGACAGGCGTTCTGGCAGTCCCAGTGCATCGATCGTGCACCAACGGCCACTTGTTAGTCTGAGTCTAAAAGCGCGGCCGAAAGGTCATAAAAATATTTTTCGATGTTGTTTTACCCCGATCCTTTTTGCTCCCTGACTCCTTTTGGACGACCCCCCCCCACTCCGTGCACGCACTTGCGTCGTCATGGAAGTCAGTAACGACCCAATGAATTTGGGGGAACACAAATTAGCTTTGTATGGTTGAGACATGTCATTCATACCCGATCGTGGATATTGACTATTTGTTTCAATCCACGACCACAACGTCTTCTCCGTCCATGAACCCACTGTCGGGGTTCGTCCCAGACCTTCCGCTCTCGGTCCGCGACATTTCCTCAACTGGGGTTGTTGTGGCGCCGGCGTACCAACCCTTGTCGACTGATTTAGTCAACACATTGCATGCATCCCTGACAAGGTCGTAGAAAGCCGGGTTGTCTTTCGGTAGAAACATCGTGACGTGCGCCTTAACTTCATCTCCGGCTTTATCATTCGTGGCCCGGGCCCATCCCAGTCCTGGGGCCGGGAGGAACGGCAAGTCCTGGCCTTCAAGCTCGGCCGGAAGGGTGCAGAAGGTGCGGTGTTTGGATCGAATAATCTTCTGACTAAAAGATGTCTTGGCCTGGTCGCGGTTCTCGACCAGCGAGCCTGCGCCTTGACCCAAGCATGTAAAGAAATTCGTGCACCCAATCCCGCGCTCCTCGTGCACCTTGGACAGGAGGACCAGGCGCTGGCGCAACTCGGACGGTCGTGCCAGACACCCAACAAACGAAAGATGGGAGGACACCCAATCGAATCCGTCGGTCAGACGGTCACGCTGGGAATACATTGCAGCCGCCCCGCCCGCGGCCACGGCACCTGCTGCCCCTGCAAACATCGCATATCGACCCCATCGCTGCCACGACGGCGTCGCTGCAGCATCGGCAGAAGGGGAGGAACTGCCGGCATCTTTCCCTCGTTTTTGCTGGTCCGCACCAGCTCCCCTCGCCGCAGTACTGGCGCCTCCCAGCCCAAATATGCCTGCCACCTCTGAGATTGTATTATACGCCGACGCTGCGTTTCGGTAGTGTCCTTCAGCGCCGTACGACACCACCCCAGGGGCAATCCCTAAAAACGGGGTATCGAAAGCAAGCACTCCCTGAATATGGGGAAACATAAACGAGCCCGGCTCTATCGCATGTGAATTATCCGCGGTGCCCGAATCTACCAGAACTTCTGGATTCGTGGGCTTGTGAGGGATTGGCTGTTCCGAGGCAACCAGAAGAAGTGTTTCGGCAGCGACAATGCCACCCATCGAGTGACCAACTAGGAAGACATGAACGGAAGGATCGACGGTGGGAGAGGCAGTTTCGTTCGCGACTTCCAGATCGATGACCTGGTTTTGGAGCCTACATGAGACCGAGTTAACTTTAGTGTTGACGATCCGAAAGACAAGAGGGGGGAAAGGAGGTTGCCACTGCTATAAGATTCCAAAACAACATACCATTCGCGAAAGTTGCTCACACATTCTTTTAGATCCCCTCGAGTCTCGTATTTGGGGTATACGGCCGTGGCGACCTTCACGGAAGGAAGCGACCGACCGACCACCGCACGGAAGTGCTCCGGGAAATCTCCGAACGTATCGTCATCTCCCTTTAGACGATTGGGTTGTGTTAGCCCGGCCGGTTTCAATGATGACGCCCATCGCATAGCTCCCATAGATTTGGCGGTACCATCAGCAGATGTAGGGTAGGGGGCGGATGCTAGGGACTTGAGACCAGCTTGGAGACAAATCGACAGCGTGAGCATACCTTGAAGCCGTGAATGTAAACAATAAGAAGCGTTTTCCTCATTTTCAGCCACCAACTGGATATCGTTGCCCCATATCGCGATGGACGTCCGGGCAGTCTTGGGTCTTACGGGAGACGCCAGAGCGAGACGGAGCCCGCTGTGCTTCCGGTCCGATTCGGGAAACCATTACGTCATCTACACGTGACATCTCTCGGCATGTGATTGCAGCCTCAAAAATGAGGAACGAAGAACGAGAACGGCTTCATCCTCAGGTGGCGGCGAAAGATAGAATCGTATATAGAATATCCTAATCTTAGAGGCACAATAGCAGTGTTTATATAAAGACACCAGTATAGGCAAGATTAACATATCATATAAGACAATCTATCAACATTGTATCCAGAACACATAATAGATATGAACAAACCATATGTATATGTATAAAGATATGTATGTGTATAGATGGGGGAAAGAAATATAACATGATCGTTCGTGATAAACAATGCCATCCGATATAGCGCCTGGTAGGAAAAATAACAAATCTTCAATCCCTTTTCGCGCCCTTCTCCCATGATAAAGAACCGAAAGGTGTAAAATAGACAAGAACATATTCGATGTCCCCTGGGACCTCCTGCAAATCTAACATACAACGCTATCGTAAGAAATCCATCCAAATGTACCGAGTGTATCCCCGAGTTTATATTCAACTCCCAAAGCCACCGTCTTTTGAAAAACAAACAGACCCAAAGTAACAGATAGCGTCATTAATCGTAAATCTTTTAGTCGACTATTAAACCAACAGAGTGGACTAGGTGGCTGACTGGTCTAGACGAACCCATTCTCGGGGGACGTCCATGCTGCGATTTATACGCCCGCCGGGAGTCAGAGGCACATCGACCCGCCCGCGACCTCGTTCGTCGTCCGCAGAGTCTTCGTATGTAGACAGCCGCGAGAAGTAATCCTCGAGGATCGTCTCCCGATCGTTGTCACCGACAATAGTGGTGTACTCCGGAGGCGGTGTCACCAGCGGGGGCGGAGGTGGTAGATCTTCGAAGGCGGGAGGCGCGAAGGAGGGAGCCCGCAGAAGATGCATGGGCCGCGGTGCTGGCTCGGGTTCAGGCCTCCGCTCATCTGATTCATGGGCAAGATGCGCCTGGGGAGGTCGGGCCAAACCACCCGAGCCGCTGGTGAAACTTCGAGAGACAGCCCGTCCGGTTGGCGGCTCCTCTGGATCCTCCGACGGGCGCGCAAGGCTACTAGAGCTTTGGCGGGACACGACGGGCGCACCGGGACACCCGCATTCGTATTCCTGCGCTTGGGGCACCGGATCGGAGTTGGGCGAAGTGTACGCCGGCAGGTAGATGTTGGCCTGGGTAGCCTTGCAGGAGAGGAGGTGGAAAGGAGAGTCGATGGAAATTTCGAAGTGTCGACGCTTGTTAGGGTCTCTTTCGTCCGGCTTAGAGAGACGCAACACAATCTAGACAGAAGCAAGGTTAGTGAATTGCAGGCGTCACAATACTAGGGAGTGTTGAATGAGGATCATCATACCTTGATCCAGTGGTTAATCTGAATATTTTCATAGGTGGTGTCGAAATGCAGCCGCTGGGACTCCTCCCGGTTCCTCATCTCATGGCAACTAGGGAGTTGGACATTGAACTCCATCTCGGTCGGTCCAACGCCGGCATCAGTCGAAAGGTCTCCCAGAAGGTTGGTCCGATTTCGATCCACGACTTCCTCCCCTCTGGCGGCAGCCGCACGATGGTCGTAGGCAATGCCACCGCCCGAGGTGACTCGCATCGAACTGCCGGGGTACGTGCTGGAGCTGACGGAGTCCGCTCGCTTTTCAAACAGAAGCACCTTCTTGGCCGGTGCGAACCGGTGCACAGATTTGTCTGCAGTCCAGTGCTGGGTATTCTCGGTCACGTAGACCTTGATCCGATGGCATTCCACCTTGGCTAGGGGAGTCAGTTTGAACGCGATGGGAACCTGGCTGCCCAAAGGAAAAGATTTTCCCGAGATCACAATATCGTAGTGCAGTTGGTCTTCCCAATTGCGGGAGATGGCGATCGGTTCGACCTGCTCCAGCGAGCCTTCCGCCGGGGTGCGAATCACGGGCACCTCCAAATTACCCAGCAGGTTAGGACGGAATGCACCCGCGCGCTCGACGATAGCCTCGAGGTCATACCGAACAAACCCTAGATCCGTTTTGATCGTCTCCGGGAGAGATCCATCAATTGGGAACTCGAAGCTGTATAGGTAATCCCCTACAGGGAACATACGATAATTGCGTTGCGGAGCGGGCGGAACGATTGGGGCATCGCTTTTGCCGAAACTGCGGGACTGGTTGGATTGAAGCGAGAGTCGTTTGAGCTCTCGGCTTGTGGCCTGACCGGTCTGCAGCGAGACCGACGATCCGCTCTTGGAAAAGATTTCGCGAGTGACCGCGGTCGGAACATCTTTGCCAGAAACGGAGGTAATCGGTTTCGCATGTTGGTAGAAGTGAGCACCGTAATCATTCTGCATCAAGGCGGTGTCGCCATGGTTGAAGTACATGACACCGTGAGTGACCAGGTCCTTCTTGTCATGGAAGTGGATTTTTCGGGGTGGAATTCCTAGACAGGACGGCGAATTAGTATGAGCAACCAACCAAATGACATCGAGATAGAGATTGGTTTCGTCCAGAAATATAAAACGTACCGTCGGGCCAGTCGGTCTGCGCCTGACCACGGAAGCAGATCGAGATCTTCTTGATCTTTACGCTTTTGGTGATCTTGAGATGCAATTGCCCGCGCAGGATGGCGGATTTTTTGGTGCTGGGGTCATTCTGATCGTAACCTTGAAGAAACAGAACGGGTTCTGTGAGAGCAATTCCCACCGAGATGCCGCTGCCGGACGCCACGATCTTCTCGTTGTTCAGCGTGGGGAAGGGCACGGTGGGATCGGACGACGGCGCCGTGGTATGAGTGGAAGCCGAAGAGGAATGGGAGATAGAAGCGGTCGGCGACGAGCCGGCGCGCAGTCTCCCCGTGCCTAAATTCGGAGCGGCGAGCATTTGTGCATCTCCAGGCGAGAGCACAATCTCGGAGACAGGACGTGGGCGGCGAGTTCGTTGCATGGGGCGGACAGGTGGCGAAGAAGACGGAGAAGATGAGTGCGCCCCCAAGCGGAGCAGGCGCTTTGCGTTCTCCCGTGGTCCCGCCAGCTTTCTAAATACTGAACCCCGCCAATGATTACCCTGCTTAGAAAATTGTTCCGCTTCGATCTCGGCGCCAATGTTAGCCCCAACGGAACGACGGTCAGATCGCGAAGAACTGGACGAGCTGGCAAATAAAGATAGAGGCGCGCAAGGTAGCTGGGCAGGACTCGTCGTCACGGATCTCGACAGGTCCTGCGGCAAGGGAGAAGAAATGTGAGCGGTGGTCATCGTGCGCAACGCCAAACTCGAAGCATAATTTTACAGCAGGGAGAGGGAGAAAGGGAGAACAAGATGCAGTCCAACCGATGGCCTTTTGTATGCGAGGGAGAAAATAGAAATTGACAGAGCTAAAACAAAAGAGGATCGGGAAAGAAGGAAAAAAGAAAAAGAGAAGAAAAAGCTTAAAAAAATAAACCAAAAAAAAAAAAAAAAAAAATACAAGGAAGAAAAAGAAGGCAAGAGGGTAAAAACAGAAGGCTCCGGGTGGGGGGAGAAGGAAAGAAGTGAAACGGAGATCTGAAACCAAGAGGCCGGTTGCCCGGAGAGGGAGACTGCAAGAGGGAAGAGGATAGGAAAGGAAGAGAAGGGAAGAGAGGAGAGGAAAGAGGAAAGAGAGAGGGAAAAGAAGGTGAACAAGCAAAGCAACGCATGGAAAATCCCAGAGAGCAAGTGACTTACCCCGTACTTGGCGGCTTGAAATGCAAGCTACTTGGGATATAGTATGTGATAATTGATTACGACGATGCGGCCGGGATTTTTTTGCTTTTTTGTTGTTGCTTTCTGTCTTTGCCGTGTTGGGTAGATGATCGGCGGACCCAACGCAAGGAGGAGCTCAGACCGGCGTGGCGGATGAGAATTGCAGACCGAGTGCACAAGCAGCAGAGACAGAGCGAGGGTGTGTGAGAGAAAGACGAAGCGACAAGAGAGCGGGAAGGGAGAGGCGAGAGAAGGTCAGAATGAATGGTGGAGATACAAATGGCAAGCAAACAGGGAATGGCCAGAAGGGCCCATGGGATTGCGGGGAGGCAAAGGGTAGGATTATTCAGTGGTCACCCAGAATCAGAATGTCTTAAAAGGATGCCACCGGGTACTAGAGTGAGGCGGTGCGTTAGGTTTCTTGGGCGCAAACGAGAGGGAGAGGAAGAGAGAGAGAGAAAGAGAGAGAAGGAGAGAAAAAGAAAAGGAAAAAAGGGAAAGGACACGAGAAGTAATTGAAGAATACCGAACGAGTAGGAGAAAGCAAGACGATGATGACGCAGAGGTTCATTCCATCCCGGCGATCCGTGGACTCGCAGTTTGGGAGTGAGGAATATTCATATTAATTTTTCCATTATTATTCTATTATTACTAGCTGGCATCCCCAACACCGGAGTCTTCCCTTCTCCTCGTTTGCTTCGTGTGTAGAAACAGGTTTGCAGGACAGTTTGACCTTCACTTACTATTGCCACGAGCATCATTCGTAGAAAATCCCGAGTGGTTCCTCCAGTCCTTCTTAATATTAGATCTTTTTCTCTCCACCGCAAATTCTCTTTCCCTGAAATCAATTTGACTCGGGAGGCCATGTGATGGCGGTGCATGCGCACGTCTCCTTTCTGGTACACGGTACATGGTACATGTACATGGTCCATGAGATCTTACGAGACTACGAGTCCAGCCTACACAGCCCACCCTCTCTACAGATTAACCCGTTAAGGCTGTTAGTACCGTGGGCTATTCCGCTAGCTCTGCAGAGGTCCAAGTCCATCCACCAACTTTAGTTCCCGCCAGCTAGTTTCCCTCCGTGTGACGTCTGATCTTCCGTCGCTGCCGAGCGAGTCGAAGAGTCAAAAGGACAAGAGGCACACATCCAGAAGTGTCATCAATGATCACGAAGGCGAGTGAGAACTCCGCGGAGACTCCGACATGGACGTCTGCGCCGACGCAACGCCGAGTTTATTCCTTGGAGCCTGGAAAGGTAATGTGGCAGAAGACATGCAGCTCGCTAGGGACTGGTCGCCAGTGTCGTTTGTGTGTGTGTTTTTTTTTTAGTACCCCCAATCCCCTCATGGGCTGACTTCCGTAGTGTGCGGGGATCCGTTTTGTCTAGTGTCGGCCTTGTGATGCTCGCCTAGCCGGTGGTGATATCATAGACGGCCCGGCAAAAGTACCCGCTGACAAGGTGTGGACGTGGTCGTCGTCTTCCTCATCCTGCGTGGTGGTTCCCAGACCTGAATTGGGGCGATCGACCATCCTTATCTTAAGTTCCGTGGGAGGAACTGTGAAAAGCCAAGTTAATCACCGGTGTTCTCGTTCTAACCATGTTATTTTGACTTTTCGAGGTTCCATCGGCGCTGATTCGATGGGTGCAGAAACAACCTACATCTAGTATTACGCACATGGCGTTTTCAAAAGAAGATAAAGCAGATGATGGAATGATCCTGATCTGCCGGTGAGATCCTGTCGATCTGAGCTTTGAAGAAATCCGTCGTTGAAGCCAAAATCGCGCAGGAAAAAAAAAAAAAAAAAAAAACCGAGGAGAAAACGGCCCCAAGAAACTGATGAGGTCATCGGTCCAGTCTCACCGGCCAAACTTGGTACCTGATGACAGCCTGACCGTTGAGGCTGCCGACCCAGACGGAGCCTGAAGAAAAGCATCTGGAAGAACTACAGAGTAGAGCAACTAGATCCATGCTGTAGATAACATCTTTACCCCTTAATTTAACATCCCGTCTTAGGCATCCAATATAAATAAATGTTAGGCACCATGCAGATCCGGTTTTCTTTTCTTTTTTCTTTTTCTAGAATATTTGCAGCCTGCTTCCACTGGCCTCATGTACAGCAATCTTAGGTATGATCGACCGCAGCGGCATTCCCTTCCCCGACATTCCAGGCGCGGTCTGGCGAGTTAATCGGGGATAAAGTTGAAGTATCAAATTGACAGCTAAATTTCCCCTCCCTCCCTCACGCACTCTCTCTTTCGGGGGGAAGAACTCTGCCTGCTCCACTCCCTTACCTTGCGTCATTACCTGACTCAGGTACCGCGGGCCCCTTGCATTAATCAATGTTTTTGGGGCCTGGGCATCTGCCTGGATCGGGCTGCTAGATGGATGGATGGTTAATTGGTGGGGAATTGATTGGCGGATCCGTCAGAACAGTCTTGCCCGCATTAGATCTTCCAGGTCGATGAACCTCAACAATGCAACCCCGTCCGAAAATGCGCCGTATAGAAATTTCTGGAGGTGCATGAACCTAATACGGTCTTCCGCCCTCCGTAGAGCACAAATCAAGTAAACCAGTTATCGTCAATCTCGTTGATGTTCATCAGTCTATCCCCTTCCAGCAGACCGGGGTCCCCATCCCCTTCGCCCCCAAAGTTCTCGCTTTCCATGAACAGGTCGTCGAAGCTGGATTCTCCAGGTACCATCATATCGTCTGTACCACCACCGAACATCCCGTCCTGAGCGCCGTCGGCACCCGAAAATGCTTCGGCCTTTTGTAATTCCAGGTCGAATGCATCCCCTCCCGCTGGGAGGTTTGCATTTGGATTTTCTGTTCCGGGCAAGTCAGTCGTTTCGTTGCCAGGGAGGTGGTTTCCTTTCCCTTGCCCTGTAACGCCGGCGTTCTTACTGTCCATGTTGGATCCTGCAAGGAAGGTTTCGTTCCCAATGTCATCGTCCCCGAAGTCCAAGTTAAGATCGAACTCATTCGCCCCGCCCGTCGTATCATTGAGCACAGAATCAAAATTGACATCCGTCGGTCCGGAGAGGTTTTGGTCTGGAGCAGTAGACTTCGGTTCGTCCGGCTTCTCTGTCTTGACGGGCGTTTGGGTTGGCGCCGGTTGAGGGACTTCCGCGGTTGACGGTGGCTGCGACGAAGGGCTGTCCTGCTCTCGTCTGATTTCAGTCTTACCTGGCTCCTCGGCAGATTCCCGGGGCTGCGGCGCAGCCTCTGGCTCTTGCTTGACGATTGGTTCATTCTTAACAACATCTTCCACGGGTCTTAAGGCAGCCTTTCTGGCCTTGACTACCTCGTAGTCCCTCTCGAGGAACGCTTTTGCGATGAACTGTGATAGGTTAGTATCAGTCATAAGGTTTCTGCTGCAAGACCTGTCGCAATGAGAAGACTACGTACTATTTGTTCAGACAGGTTGTCAAGCGCGGATTGAAACTGCTCCTGCGCAACAGGGACGGCTCGTTTCAGCTGGGCGCTATTCTGCGACGAACCTTTCGATTTGAAGAATCGCCCGGTTTCAACCATCTGCGAAGGTCAGAGAGTTTGGTCGGGTTGAATACTACTGCTCCGGAGGATTATTTACCGTTTGATTCACCGTCGTCGCCAACACATCCAGAGATTCCGGATTTGAGTAGTCGGAGGTGGCCATAATTCCAGGGTTGGGTAAATAGGAGTGTTGGAGCTGTTCAAACGCGCGGATGTAGGCAGCCAGCTCCTTGTGCAAGGTCGAGGGGGCACGAGACCGGCGAGAGATGGAGGCCAAATCCTCAGGAGGATGGAACCAATGATGACCGAGGTCGAGACGCAGGCAATAATGTTGATGAAACGTGGTAGGCGCCGGGACTAGGAATGACAGTCTGGACAAGAGGAGAAAGAATAATGAATGATGGTAAGCGCCCACCGCCGACGGAGGGAACAAAAGAGGGAGCGCTAACGCCAAGCGGGCTAGCGTTCCCCTCCCCACCCGCGGCGGCTCTCGACCATCCAAAGTTCCAAACTCCTCGTTCTCTTCTCCATTCAATTCAATCTTTCCCAGATCCTCTTCTTGTTCTTTCTCCCCCGTGTTTCTCGTCTTGTTCCTTGATTCGGTTTTGGTTTGATTTGATTTCATTTCTTCATTTTCATTTCATTTCCTTCCGGTCTCCTTTCTTCTATTCGCTCATCCTCCACTTTCCCTGTGTCTCCTCGCAGCTGTCAACATTGAAAGTGCTTGGGTGCTGCGTTTCTTCTGTTTGCTCCGTTTCCTTCTGTCACCGTTCATCGATTCTTCGTGTTCTTTCGACCTTTTCCACCACCGTTTGATTGTTGGGGTCGTGACAGCAACTGTTTGAGTCGCCCGAGTCCTAGCGCTTTTTTTTAATCACCAAGCTACCATTTCTTCACCGTTTGTCTTCTACCTTTTCCTTTTTCTCTCTCTTCCTCACTTTCTCTCATCTCTTCTACTGTTTTCTCTTTTTCTTTTGTCTTTTTTCTTATCCCTCTTCGCAGTCGTTGTCAACGACAGTTAACATTGAGCTTTATTGTATGATCTTACCACCTTGTTCTTTTTTCTCTGTTTTTCTCTGTTCTTTTTTCTGTCCTGATCCCCGCGTCACTTTCCGCCTTTCGACTTCAGCCAATTCTGTGACTGCGTAACGCCCTGCATCGTCCCGTCCCCAAAAAACAGTTATCATATTTACCCTGAGGCACCCGTCATAAAACGTCTCCAACCTCTATTGACCTATCCGCTCAGTCGTTCCAGTGATCAACTTTTTCTTTTCCTTCTGTATATTGCAGCTTGAGCTCTTTCGACAATGGCTGATAACGTGCCCGCCTCGACCTCTTCTACCCTCCCACCTCCGCAGCCCTCGACTGCTGCTTCAGGCCAGCAGTACGATGCGTCTCAGGGCAATGGTCAGGCCAATCCCTCCCACATGCCCCCTCCTCCTCGTCCGCCCGTTGTGATTCCCCAGAATACCAACCCGATTCCAACAGCTATCACCTCTCCGATGTCTGGAAACATGATGTCCCCGACCAGCGCAGGTGGATTCGTTCGTCGCGCTGCCCCCGAACCAAACAAACGAGCTCTGTATGTTGGCGGTCTTGACCACAGGGTCACCGAGGATATCCTGAAACAGATCTTTGAGACCACCGGTCATGTCATCAGCGTGAAGATCATCCCCGACAAGAATGTGAGTGACATTCTTTTACCGTCGGAAATGCTTCCCCCTCCCCCGAAGGCTGATAATATTTTCTTTTCTTTTTCGTGCTGACTCCCGCAGAAGTTTAACAGCAAAGGATACAACTACGGCTTCGTTGAATTTGACGACCCCGGCGCCGCTGATAGAGCCATGCAGACTCTAAACGGGCGCCGCATCCACCAGTCGGTATGCGAGTTCGGCCTGTTTTTCGTTTACTTTTTTGAGGGGGGACTGTTCTGATCGCTGTCAACAGGAAATTCGGGTCAACTGGGCCTACCAGTCCACTACTATCACCAAAGAGGATACTTCGAACCATTTCCACATCTTTGTCGGTGATTTGAGTAACGAGGTCAACGATGACGTTCTTACGCAGGCTTTCTCTGCGTTTGGCTCCGTTTCCGAGGCTCGGGTCATGTGGGACATGAAGACCGGTCGCTCTCGCGGCTACGGTTTCGTTGCTTTCCGCGATCGTACGGATGCTGATAAGGCGTTGACCGCGATGGATGGTGAATGGCTTGGTTCTCGTGCGATCCGCTGCAACTGGGCCAACCAAAAGGGACAGCCTTCCATTTCTCAGCAGCAAGCAATGGCCGCTATGGGCATGACCCCGACCACGCCCTTCGGCCATCACCATTTCCCCACCCACGGCATCCAGAGCTACGACATGGTCGTCCAGCAGACCCCTCAGTGGCAGACCACGTGCTACGTGGGCAACCTGACTCCTTACACCACGCAGACCGATCTCGTCCCGCTCTTCCAGAATTTCGGCTACGTTCTCGAGACCCGTCTGCAGGCGGACCGTGGCTTCGCATTCATCAAGATGGACAGTCACGAGAATGCCGCTATGGCTATCTGTCAACTCAACGGGTACAACGTCAATGGTCGCCCCTTGAAGTGCAGCGTGGGTTCTCCTCAGGTTCCCCCCCCCCTTTTCTGTTTGTTCTCGTGTCACTGATAAAGTCCTATAGTGGGGTAAGGATCGCCCCCCCACCGGTCAGTTTGACAACTTCTCTGGTCAACAGGGCAACTCCCCCTTCAACAACAGCCCCCAGCCGTATTTCCCTCAGTATGGTGGTCCGGGCGCCCCCATGACTCCTCAAGGTAAGTTTTCGTCTCTCGTCACTCCCGCTTCCGCCATGGATCTATCTAATCCGCGATGTGTAGGTCCGAACCCAGCTGGAAGGGGTTGGGACCAGGCTGGAATGGCCGGTCAGGGCTACGGCCAAGTGCCAGCAAACGCCGGGTACGGCCGCGGACAGGCTACCCCTAACTCTGGCTGGAACCAGGCAAACAACGCCAACTTTGGCAACGGCTTCGGAAACTACCAGGCTTAGTTCATTTCCCAATGGGTGGCCACAGCACGTCGCACCTTGCCCTCCTTGCCTCGCCTTGGATCGAGTGTGAGACAAGTCATCCACGGCAGCAACAGTGATGATGAAGAAGAAGAAGCCGTTCCCTTCTCTCCCCCTTTCTCCATTCCCTCTTCCCCCTTTAATATTTCCTTGTTTCCACCCTTTCCAGGATCCATTTTATTTCGTATCTCACATCTTCTGTTTCTTTCTTATGATTGCCTTAAGTGGACTTTTTTCTTTTTCTAAGCGCATCTCCCATTCTCAAATGCTTTCTTTTTGAAATGAAATTTTTGTGTGTTATCGTACACCCAATACCCCAAGTCCATCTTGTTGTCAACCTTTTTATGCTCTTTTTCTTTCGAGTGTGCGCAACTTTGATCAAGAGCTTCTTGGACTTCCGATTCAAGCGTTCTGCCGGAATAAACTAAAAGTTTTCGTTCGCTTTCTAACCCGCGTTTTGGATCATTATTTGAGAAATTTTTTTCTCTCAAGTCTGTATCGTATCTGTTTAAGTTTGTATGTGTGGCCTGTTCTGATTAGTGTCCCGTCGCCTGCGGCGAGAGACAAACGTCGATGTCGATGCCGGGCCTCCCCTTTTTGTGTGATAGCGCTCTTTCTCTCTTTTTCCATCTTCACAGACAACGTCGATCAACCGACCGATCTCTTTTTGATCTCTGCTTCACAGTATCTTCTTTTTCTTTCATGATACCAAGTCTTCTGCGACTTCATGTTCTGGCGTTTTCGGACAATATACCTATTTGATTTGATCTTATTTTTGGGATGCCCCGAGCGGGCATTACAAAGTAGTTAGCAATGAATCGGACGGTTCCAAGGGGAACCCCATGGAACACTTCAGCGTCAGTATACAAGAAAGAATAAGCACTGGCAGGAACGGGTCCAATGAGGCCGGTGCGGAGAAGGAGTCTAGAAGGCGGCAGGCCCGAAAACCCGCCACCGCCCTGGCTTGACCCCGATCGCTTTTCACTTCCCCTTCCCCTGCCCTTTCGGTTTCCATTCGCTTTTAGCCGATGGAATTCCTACCCAAAAGCAAAGGGACGACGGCGCAATCCTGATAGTGGACCTTCGGATGTGGGCTTGCTAACGGCCAGCTGCGCTAGCCGTGCCCAGCTTGCCGCCAATGGACGATGCTAGCGACGGTAAAAGCGTGGCTCTGTCGTCGCTAGGCGATGACGATCAAATCGCAGGCCGGACTCGCTCCGGGAGCGCAAGCAGTGGACACAAACGCAGCTCTTCCGGCTCTTTACTTTCCAAGCTCTTCTTTCTGCGGATGATCCAGGCCACCCAGAACACCCCCGAGAGAAGCCACTCGGGCCTCGACCGACCCGATGGCGACGATCTCGGCGCCAGCCTACGAGGCGGCAGCAGGGCGATGTCGAGCGCCTTGCAACATCGCCGGACACGAAGGCGGAGGGGCTCGCTGAGAAAGGCCGCCTTACTGAGCACACGACTCGACTTTCGCGACAAAAAGGCCAACAGAGCTCCGGTCGACGTCTTCCGTGCAGACGAACCCTCTGAACAGCAACAGCACCAGCAGCGCCAACAGTCCCCGCATCTTTTCCCTCCGCATACGCACTCGTCGCTATCCCCATCCTCCACCACGCCCTTGCGACCGTTGGCAGGGTCCGCTCCCCCCGACCGCGACATCGCCCCTCACGAATCATCGTACCTGGAAACAGCCAATTCAGGAGAGAGCTCGGGATGGAACCTGATGAACGTGCCGCGACGGTCCCTCTCCGCTTCCGCCCCTTCCGCCCCGCGACACCAGCAAAATGCTTCGAAAGACAGCCTGGGCGAGATCACCACCGACGAGGAGGATATCATATTGTTCCCCCGAGTAAAGAACACCAATGCGGCTGTCGCTGCCGTCGCCGGTTTACATCTTCCGGCTGCGTCGCCGAGCTCGGATTCATACTACGCTCTCCAGGCGGACCCGAAGTATCGTGCCATGCACCGTGCGAAATCGCCTCTTGCGACTCATCCGACGGACATGACAACCAGCCAGGAGATGGTGTGGGATTACTCGGAGACGGAGTGGTGGGGCTGGATCATCTTGATCGTGACGTGGCTTGTTTTTGTCGTCGGGATGGGCAGCTGCTTCGGTGTCTGGAGTTGGGCGTGGGATGTTGGCGAGACTCCGTATGCGCCCCCGGAGCTGGAGGATGATCCGACTCTGCCTATCGTGGGCTATTATCCCGCTTTGATCATTCTGACGGCGGTCATGTCCTGGGTGTGGGTGATCATCGCATGGGTTGGTATGAAGTATTTCAAACATGCCAATATATCCGGGGAAGATATATGAGCATGGCGATTTAGTCTTACGAAATGTTTTCCTCTTATTTTCACTGCCTATGCACATGCTTTGGGTTTCACTATCCAATAGATGTAATTTCTAATGCAAATCCCCAGAAGCTCCTATCAAAGGGGCCTATTAAATAACATATATCCATATCCAACACATGTAAGAAAGGGAAGAAATGATATAAACCCGAGATAACTCCAAACCACAACCCCGACTCCAAGATCAATCCGTATATCTATTCCCGTTCATAGATCTCCCAGTCAATGCGATACAGCGCATTGATTCGCGCATTCTAGTCGATGTTGCGCCATCCGGACACTGAGGTCATCAACGCCGGACTTTTTGGCGCTCACAACAGGCGGCTCCGACAGGTCGGGCTCTGCTGCTCTGCCAGATCCGTCGACGTTCTGCGGCTGCACAGTCGTTCCCGGGGCGGTGCTCACGAGACCCTTAGACACGGCGTAGCAGGAGGAGCGATCGTGGTTCAAATCCTCGCTGTAGAACTCGTCCAAGATAGGATGCAGAAGCACCGTTTGCTTGTGGATCGTGACGATCGAGTTCGCCGGGACAGAGACCCAATTATCTAGAAGCAAGTTGAGAATATTAGCAACGCGCAGGACCACCACAATCAGGATAATAGGCCAATCTCACGTCTCTCGAAAGTAATCGGCTCACTCGCCACCAGAACAATATCCGCGCCTTTATCGTGCCTCTCCATCTTGAAGTGCCCCTTTTCTTTCCCCTCCTTCCACTTCGTCCCGGACGAGAAGTACAAGCTCGCCGGCTCGTCCGTCTTGCTGCTGATGTACCGCGTACACACGACCGTATGGCCATCCGTGACCGCAAAGTTCAGCAGACTGCGCGTCTCCACGCCGGACACATTATGCCGCTTGGGGATGTCGCGAATGAACTCGTTGATCTTGGCGATAGTCTTGACCATGACCTTGCGCAGCAAGGCCTGCCCGAATCCCTCCGGGCCCGGGTCAGAGCTGGGATCAACGCCCTCCTTCTCCAGGAGGTCGAGGAACAGCGCGAAGGCCCACTCGCTGTCCGTGCCGCCCTTGACGCCCAGATACCAGCGGTCCGCGAGAGAGTCGGCCAGCGTGCGCTTGATGTAGTGCCAGCCGCCGATGCCGCCGTTGTGCATCCACATCAGCGTCTGGTGCTGGAAGGGGTGGCAGTTATTGTCGGAGAGCGCACCCTCCGTCGTGGCGCGCACGTGCGCGAAGATCAGATTCGAGCACGTCTTCGACGCCAGCCGTTCCAGGTTCTCGCAGTTCCAGGCCGGGAGCGTCGAGGTGAAGATGCATGGCTCTGGGCCGAGCTTGGGGTCAGTGTAGAATCCGACCCCGAAGCCATCGCCGTTGACGGGACGGCGGTTGTCCTTTTAATGGGGGGTGGTTAGACGGAGATGATGGAATAGAAAGACTCAAAATGGCTTAAACACCGAGACTGCTCGGTTCATTCAAGGGTGAACTCACTAATCGTAAGCGAGAGTCATACGATTGAGTCAGGATCGAATGACTGGGTTCTGTAACCAGTTTGCTCAGACGAATCTCATGGCTGCCTTTGTATACCTAACATGAAGGAGCGGTCAGATGCATGAATGACATCAGGGCGATGTGAGATGTATGACCACCTCGACATACCAGAAAGCGGCACATAATGAACGAGAACGAGCTCTAGGAAAAAGAGCTTGTTCCAAGGCCCGGTTTAAGGGTTCCAAACAACAGAGTGCTGAACCTGTAGAAATTCAAATCGAAGAATACTGAACCTTTGTTTCAGCGGCCGAAATCGCAAGCTGATAAGAGAGACAGGCGGAGCTGCGTTTTTAGTTCTCTCCACGTTTAAATTGGGCTCAACAGCCACCACGTTCGACCAGATTGGAGCAACCCAGTGGATCAAAGAATGGAAAGGAATATGAGATTAGAGAAAAGTTTCAAATTGGAAAATAATTCTGTAACATGTCTTCTTCGTCGCGACAATGTCGCCATCTGACCACACGTGACTCACACCGACTTGCTACGGGCGGCGCTGAGACCATTCGCGCAGATCACGGGGTCCCTCTGCCTGAGGCATGAACTGATGACATCCCATTTCTCTCCGCCTTTTCATTCGACCTTCCCACACCTTCATTTACCCCCCAAAATCAAACAAACAAGAGAGATATCCTCGTGGCTGACCGGCCCGGGAGATGACCGCTCCCCTCTCCCTGATTGATTTGCGGTGCATGACATTTCTCGAACCATGAGCGGGAGAATTCTCTCCCACCGTCTGGTTCCGCTCTTGCGGACGGGTCTTTTGGCCCGCCATATTCACAACGCCAGTGCCAGGACTGGCGGCCTCTTGCGATCTAACGGGGGCGCTGCTCTTCGTGGTCGAGCCTGGCCTGTCGGTGCGAATGCCATTCACAATGTCCCTGCCGTGCGGACCATCTCGTTTGCCCGCATCCTCCCTAAATTGGCCATGAAGCTGGTCCGGGTGCCGGCTATGTTTGGAGGGGCTATGGTTGCTGGGTTGGCCTATTTTCAGTATCAGGCTACGCGTATGTATCTCTTGAGGGCTCCCTACAGCTTGGGTTAAGCTAATTATGAGATTTTTTGTGTTACAGAGGCGGGGAATTATGCTATTGACGTCTTGAAGCGGGCGGGGGAAACGGCGAGTGATACGGCTTCGACTTTTTTCGTGGGAATCCAAGGCGTGGCTGAACAGACACAAAAGGGTTGGCAGAAGACAAAGGATGATGTGGAGCTCCCGGAATGGTTACAAAAGATTCTTCGTATGAATGAGGATTCGCAGTCCGACGGGGGTTCTTCAGGAAGTGGTGGTGGTGGCAAGCCTCCCCATGAAAGTAGGGGCGGCGGCGGTGTTGCCGCTGGAGCTGCGACCGGCTCTGCGTTTGGATACGATGCGGATGAGGAAGACGTCCGGTCCAGTAGGGAGGTTGCCGAGGATGACCAGATGATGCTTCTTACTCGGAAAATGATCGAGATCCGGAATATCCTGTCGTCGGTTGGACAGTCTAACACGCTTACGCTGCCATCGATCGTGGTCATTGGCTCGCAGTCCTCTGGTAAGAGCTCTGTTCTAGAGGCTATCGTGGGCCATGAATTCCTACCGAAGGGCTCGAACATGGTCACCCGTCGACCCATCGAACTCACCTTGGTCAACACCCCGAACGCACAGGCCGAATACGGTGACTTCCCGGCCCTCGGACTGGGCAAAATCACCGACTTCTCTCAAATCCAACGTACCTTGACCGATCTGAATCTCGCTGTCCCAGAGAAGGACTGCGTCACCGACGACCCCATTCAACTCTCTATCTACTCGCCCAACGTACCTGACCTCTCTCTCATCGACCTTCCCGGTTACATCCAAGTGGCCGGACAAGACCAGCCGCCGGAGCTGAAGCAGAAGATCTCCGACCTCTGCGACAAGTACATCCAGGCCCCCAACGTCATCCTGGCTATTTCTGCAGCCGATGTGGACCTTGCCAACTCGACGGCTCTGCGAGCAAGCCGACGGGTAGATCCTCGCGGCGAGCGGACGATTGGTGTTATTACCAAGATGGATCTTGTTGACCCAAACCGTGGCGTCAACATTCTTTCCGATAAGAAGTACCCTCTGCGCCTAGGATACGTGGGCGTGGTCTGTCGCATTCCTCAAACTACGGCTTTGTTCTCCAGGGGAAGTGGCAACATCACGAGTGCGATCCTGAAGAACGAGAATGCCTACTTTTCGGCTCACCCTCAGGAGTTCGGCTCCCAATCCGACCTATCGATCGGTGTGACGACTCTGCGCACCAAACTCATGCATGTTCTCGAGCAGACTATGGCATCGAGCCTAGCGGGTACTAGGGATGCTATCAGTCAGGAACTCGAAGAAGCGACCTACGAGTTCAAGGTACAGTATAACGACCGTCCCTTGAGCGCCGAGTCATATCTCGCCGAAAGTCTGGACAGCTTTAAGCACTCATTCAAAGCATTCGCCGAAAACTTCGGTCGGCCTCAGGTTCGCGAAATGCTGAAGAACGAATTGGACCAGCGAGTCATGGACATCTTGGCCCAGCGATACTGGAACAAACCCGTTGACGACTTGGCTCCTTTGCTGCCCGAGCTGGACCCCCTTAGTGACCTTCCCAAAGCGGACTTGGACTCACAGTATTGGCGCCGTAAGCTTGACGGCTCAACCTCTTCATTGACAAAACTGGGTATCGGAAGACTCGCCACGACGGTCGTCGCCAATGCGATCCAAACCCACGTTGATCGGTTACTGGCCAACTCCACTTTCGCTTCCCACCCATATGCTCAAAAGCAGATTGTGGATGCCTGCAACAGCATCTTGAACGACCGATTCTTCAGCACTAGTGATCAAGTCGAGAACTGCATCAAACCATACAAATTCGAGATCGAAGTTGAAGACCCGGAGTGGATCAAGGGCCGAGAGAATGTCAGCAAAGTGTTGAAGGGCGAACTTCGAGCCTGTGAGAGCGCAATGCGGCGCGTCGAAAACAACGTTGGAAAGAGAAAGCTCAAGGATGTCATGGCATTCGTGGACAAGGTTCGCAAAGGCGAAGTGCTACTAGAAGGCGACGTTGCCAGCACCGCTGGTGCTGGTGGGTTCAGTGCCGCCCTCCTAGCTACCGGTATTGTCTCCCTTCCTCCCTCTCGTCGACCTAAGCTAATCCATACCCCAAAAGGCCGCGAGAGCGTCTTCCTCCGAGACCGCGCCGATCTCCTCAAAATGCGTCTCCTCGCCATCCGCTCCAAGCAGTGCGCCTCCAAGAAGAACAAGTACTTCTGCCCCGAGGTCTTCCTCGACGTCGTAGCCGACAAGCTCACCTCGACCGCCGTGCTCTTCCTCAACGTCGAGCTCCTCTCCGAATTTTACTACAACTTCCCCCGTGAACTGGACATGCGCCTCGGTCGACACCTCTCCGACGCCGAAGTGGAACGGTTCGCTCGCGAAGACCCGCGCATCCGCAAACACCTCGACGTGAT